CCAATCGTGCCGATCAAATGGCGCCGTGTACCCCAGCAGCGTATTCATGCGCGCCTTGGGACTCATGGCCTCGCTGAGCCCGGCAAAACTGTGCAGCCGCGGCCCGCCGCATTTCGCGGAATCCACATACGGAGCCTCCCACCGCAGGATCTCGGCCCACGCGCGCTCGTTGACGGCGTTGTGGATCGGTACCACCGTCTTCATGTCAGCGGCCGCCGCGCTGTTGTATCCCTTGCGCTTCATCGCCTCGAAGAACATCTTCTCCGACGGGTATATCCATTTTCCGTCGGCGGATGTGCCGGTTTCGACTTCGTGGTTCGAAGGGCAAGCGGCCGGGCCCGGGTCGGCCGAGCGCGGGATGGAGGAGATGACGCGGTGGGAGTCGAGAGTTGTGGCGGGGGTGGTCTCGGGGGTGCTTGGGAGAGGGGCGGCGGGTTGCTGGCGCGAGAAGGGCAGCCAAGAGGACCACGAGGACTGCGGAGCAGGTGAAGTCGTGGGGGTGGCGGGTGAGGGGTGAGGTGGTGTCGCGGTGGCCGGGGCGGCGCGGGCCTGCTTCAGCCAGGCTTCGCGGGTCTTGTGGTCGACGGGGCAGACCTCGGCATTGTCGCCCGGATGCGCTGTCAGGGGGGAGTCTTTCATGGTGGGCGCAGACACGGCGGGGACGCCCAGCGTCGAGTCTTTGCTGACGAGAACTGTGTCGAGGAGGTCGGTGTGCATTATGACTGCATCTTCAGCGTGTATGCGCTGGCTGAGGTGGACGCGATCGTGAGTCTTGACCTGGGGAATGGATGAGGCGATTGGGTGACGCGGGTTGAGGTGTCGAGAAATTTAATTTCAGCAGCTGCCGCGGCTCCCGTCAGCTGCCGCTGGACACTGCCAGCTGGTTTACCCGTCGACAGCGCCACCCATCACACATCTAGCGATCTCAACTCTGATGTCGACAGCCAGTGCATTATGAGCTTTAAATTTGTACCAATTCGAATTCGGCTCAGTGTCAATTTTGGGTAGGTTCAATGGCGCATCTAGTGTTCCCGCATTGCTCTGCGTCACAACGGCGAAGCTCTGCGCATTTTGACGTTTGCGACAAACCGCTACCTAGACCCGACAGTCCAGACTTCGTCCCGGACCGGACGCCGTTAGTTCAACCATTTTACGTAACAAAGCTGCACTTTGTCCAGCAGCTCTCGATAGCTCCCAAATAGCTCTGAATAGCTCTGAATAGCTCTGAATAGCTCCGGGTAGCTAGCTCTTGGCAACAGCACTAGCGGTGTATCGTAAAATGTAATATGATATTGTATTTGCATTGTTTTTGTGCCATCAGGCCGACTAGAAGCTGTCCTTCACGGCATGCCTCCAGCCTTGATATATACACCCGAGTTCCCCTCTTCATCTTCTTGGCGCGGCGGAGCATTGCTCGCAACCCACTCCATCATGTTGAATAGAAAAAAAGCCGTCCCATGCTCCAAGCCCAAACCGGTGCCGCCAAAGCTGTCATCCTGAATGGCAGCATGCTTTTGTCCCGCCCGTCGTAACGTTGCCCTTCCCTTTTGTCATGACTCGACGTTCGTACACACCCGTCTTCGTACTTGTTCCCGTGGCATATCTCAGATCGTATCTTGACAATCACCCCAATTCCGGAGGGCTTTGCTAGTGTTGCTGACTCAAAAAAAGAAAATTAGGCAAAGGCCGCCGCACCACCAGTCTCGACAGCCTCGATCTCGGCGAGGGTGAGGGGCGCCCGGTGGAACCGCTCCGGCAGCTCGCTACGGTCAAAGTAAAAGCCGGTCGGCGCCCCTACAGGGCCGAGCTGGGCTCCGGCCAGTCCGCCAATGCCTGCCTGCGAGGCCGCGATGGTCTTGCGCAGGGGACCAAACTGCTGCGCGTGGTCGCGGTACGAGCTGAAGGAGGTGTGCGAGCCCTCGGTGAACGACTTGGGCAGCGTGTGTGTGGGCGACGCTGGGTGAGGCTGTGGGGTGTGGTCGACAGAGGCTGCGACTGTCAGTTTGGTTGCGAAGGGAGAGAGGGGTAAAAATGTAAATACCTGGGATGGTCCGCTTGCCCAAGAACTTGATCGAGGGTGTTCGCTCGGCGTGCTGGGCAGCCTGGCGCAGGACTCGTGTGGTGAACATTGTGTGTGCGGTGTGTGTTGGGGGTTCGGGATTTTGCGGGAGTTGTTGGGACTGTTGAGATTTGGGGCTGATGGGGGTGGTTTGGAATGCTGATGCTTTCTCCTCGCGACGATGGCTGTCCTGAGACGTGGGCACGGTGGCAGCTAGGTCGAAGGAGGAGAATGGGCAGTGGAGCAGGCGGATTGCTTGGGATCCTAACGGGGAAGGACTCGGAAAGCAGAGGGGATAGTCTGCAAGATAAATGGGTTTTCACAAGCTTCCGAGTTGGCTGCACAAGGAAAGTCTCGCGTGGAGCTCAGCAGCGCCGACCAATCATAGCCCCCCCTTTCAAGCCTCAAAATGCCGAACTCCGGAGCCTGCACAATACAAAGCTGGTCCCAAAACCACGCCATGGCCAGGCGCCATCCGCCCAGAGTCAGGCAGGCAGGGCCCAGGTATCGGCCCCTCCAGTCGTCTTCAGCCCTTCCAGAGATAAGGTGTGGTGCACACCAGCATACCTGTAAGGCTTTCGCCAGCCAATGGGAGGCAGGTTGCGGCCATTTCCGACCAACCGCACCACGTCTTTTCAATTCTCGCACCTCTGAGATCTTGGGGAAAGAGTTTTTCTGCTCTCCTCGCATAACATGCCGCGTCGTCTTGCCCGAGAATCGTGTTTCGAGCCTTGCGCTGAAGATGCAATGATGCTACAAAATAGATGCCGTTTCGCTCATCTCCGGTCGCGGCATCTCTGGCGCCATTGTTCTGATTTTTCGCCCGATCCTTCGTTTCTAGTTGCATCGTCCGCTGGCGTCATTGTCTTCTCTTCCCCGCGTTTCCGTTAGGTACAGTGCTCACCTCACCACCTTGTCCGCAAACAGGCGCCATCCCCCGAGCCCATGATGCAATTTCCCCCCTCCGTCAGCAACGGCAGGGTGGGCGCATTGCGCCCATCCTCCCCCACGCAATACTCTGCCTGCCGCGACCGAACGCGGTCGACGCTGCAGCTCAAGCCCGGGTTTCATCGAGGGCCAATACCACCCCACCGGTCACACCCCTCTTTTCTGCCCTCTTCTACGCCCTTCATTCCCCCCTCCCCCCTCCCACCGGGTCCTACACTTCCTACCACTGCTAGTGTACGGGCGACGGGCACTGCATGTGTGCGTCTTGCGCCGTGATCCCACGCGCGGGCGCCACGTCGACTGAACGAGCTGTTGCATGTGCCTGGCGCCTGGGGAAAGGCGGGGATTGGTGTCCCGGCCCATATGCGGACTCCGGCTGCTCCGGACTCGCCCCAACCTTGACGGCCGTCGTAAATACGCGTGCGGCGCGCGACCTGTTGTGGCATCTGTAAGCAGGACTTGGACAGCTTGAATGGTGGCGGCAGATCCCCATAATCACTAATGTTGATCAATGTTTTGGTGTCGCTGGCGGTTTGTTGAACTCAATTACACGAGTGCGGTACATACAGAGTGCAAACAGGTTATGAGGTCAGGCACTCGGACCCAGGCCATCGCTGAGGGTGTACCTCGGTGTATCATGGTGCATGGGCGCATTGTCAGGTGACGCCTGCTTTGCCAACACTAACAGTGCAAAATCTCATAACGGACGAAATCCAAGCCTACAAAGGCGCCAGATGCACTGGGGCGTGGTGCACCAATCTATACACTGCCTACAAAAATGAAAATAGTAATGAACAGTGCCGCTTCTCAAATGTGCCCGTAACCGGGGCGAGGCGCCTAAGAGAAAGTAATTGGACCGTAGTGGCCTGCCATGAATACCTCAGGTATGACATCGAGTGCCAGTTCGATTATCCCACTGATAATTCGATTGTGTCCGTCAAATCAGGTAGCAGTTTACCCCCGATCTCAAATTGCCACGACACAAGGATTAGATCTGATTTCAGCTATTGAAGCTCAGGGCCATACCTTTAGTTACTACTAGACTCGATCCAAAGACGGCTGACGGTAATTTGCTCATGATTGACTCAAATAACATAGGTCCTCTGTCTTGCTGTTTCACTACCAGTAGTATGAAACACCGATCGAACACAAAGACTGTAATTAAAACGTACATGCCTGGAACTTACACAATCATCTCCGCCTTAGCGAACTATTGAGACCGCCTCAGTATTTTGTGATGTTGCTTATTGGTACTATGGACTGAGAACTTCCAGAGAGGCTATCGACCCAGGATCTTAGGCCCTTGTATGAGACTTGACATGAGGACTCCAAACTTTAAGAGCTCAAGTCTAAGAACGGGTTAGACTCAGAATTCAAGTCAGTATAGTCTCTGTCATAGAATATCTACAATGGCATATCGTCAAAAACTCAATGGGCAGTCAATCGACTTTGCCAACCCCTGATTTGGTGTTCCCCCACACGGGAGTCACACTATCAACGTTTCTATCGCCATCGAATATTGCTGATTCAAGTTGCCAGAGTGCTTCTCCCAACAGCTCCGCTTCAAGCTCGTCCCAAGGTGGTAGGCCATGATCAATGGTAGACCTGTAGTTTTAGTACCTAAATAGTGGTTTGGTCTATTTGCTCGCCTTTAGGAGTCATCCATGGCAGAGGTAGTTAGACTCTATCAACCAGCTCACAACTAAGCACTTTCTAAGTTCGCCATGGCTCGACTTCATAGGCAGTTAAAGAACCCACATTTACTCCCGAGTTTCTGCTTGCTCAATAGATAAGCATCCTAGCATATGATGCAGGCCCGTTTCGGCCCATAATTGCCATGAAATATGCGGAAGGTTGCGCCCATATTCGAGGGTTCATCCCAGCAGCGGTTGGGTGGATGCCAAGTGGATGCCCAACATCAAAATCTGCTATACCGCCCACCTACCTCAAATAACCTCGAACAACCACCAACTCTTTCAACAATCAGGCATCTGCCCGGCTAGCTCAATCGGTAGAGCGTGAGGCTCTTATGACTCAAATAGTCAGGCATCTCAAGGTTGAGGGTTCGACCCCCCCGTCGGGCTCAATTCCCGCCGTTCGAACGACCATTCTTTTTGCCATTCCATTCCTATAATGGCTCATTAAAGGGAATTATAACTCTTGATGGGGTCACAGTTTGGACCTGTCGCATGTCCGCTAGTGGCGACGATTAGATGTAAATTCACATGCCCCAAGTTGTCTTGCCTTTTATTTTTTCCTTCCGGGGGGGGAACAACATCTTACCATTGTCCTTGCTGTGATATATCATGAATGTATAGTGATATTTAAGCATGATGGGGTAATGTGGGGGCTCGAGATGGCAAAAGGGAAAATCTCGCGACCCATCATGATGACTTTTCATCGGATGCGCAAAAATAACACATTGCCCAATAACAGGATTGAACTGTTGACCTTCGCATTACTTAGTATATCAGAGGATATATTAGTACGACGCTCTAACCAGCTGAGCTAATCGGGCTGCCGAACTGTTGACAAAAGCCTTCTGGGAATGGCGTCATGGAGTGGAACGGTGAGTCAAGTGGAGTTGACAGGCTGTCGTTATCTGTGCTGAAGGTACCTAGTTTTCCAATCATTGCCTGTAAAATTGGCTCGGAACCGTTAAACATGAGCGCGCATGTACCGACATTGATAAGTTTAAAAATCTCCCGGCTAAGCTCAAAAGGAAACAGTTGTGACTTGTCACGGTCAACTTTAAACTTTTAGACGGGAAATACAGTTTCTGAGTCAGCCTACAAAGTCACGGTAAACTTTAGCCTTGGCTATAATGCTTTGTCTTACAACGAAAATGGTAGCTAAAAGCCGACCGAGACAAGCGATGAATGTTGTCGATAATTGACTCGGAGCTCGACTGCAAAGCCCACCAAATGATCACAAGACCAACAAAGACACCACTCCCAGCCCCCGCCAAGGCTCTGAACTCGACGCATTCAGCTCAATGCTGCACAATGCAGTGTTGACTCGGACAGGGGTCCAGAGTCTGAGCGGTGAGGCCAGGACTCGGCAGACCGAGGGCGTCGGCCCGAGTGCAACACCTTCTAGGCGGATGGAATCGGTACCCAGCCCTTGGGCCGAAGGATTGCGGGTGGCGCGCTGTGCAGCAGTTTAGGAATCTGCTGGAAAGGGGAACCGCCTGGCGAAACCAGGCGCCGGAAATTGTTTCACAGTGGCTGGTGAAAAACACCGGGCGACTGATGATGCAGCGTTTCGCTGATGGGTTAATGGGTGAGGTTTGCAGCAATGTGCAGTCTTGGTGGTGCAGTCTTGGCAATACTAATGCCCCTGAGGTCTATTTCCCGAGTCGCGCGCTTTTGCCGAAGGGGGATGGTGAATGGTAAACGTTATCAGTAGGTAGTGTAGATCACACCGTATCTTGGGCAAGGCACGCTGCAAAGGGCCGTCAACTGCCTTGGCCCCCTTCCCCCCCCCTCCCCCCCCTCCCATCTCGATTGCTGACGATTGCTGATATTGTACAGTCAGAGGTAAGAAATGGGTGAGAAGACCTATCCCACTGGTTCCTTGGCTAAAGGTCGTGATATACGGATAAATCATGGCATATATGTGATTGGGCTTGTCTTGGCGGCATTCTAGTCGTGACAGAGTGTTTGTGTTGCACGAACGCAGAGGGGTTATCTGCAGGTTCAACAGTTTCTGTGATTTATGTGATTTGTATCACAGAGCCTCACTAGCTGTTATTCGTCAATTTTACCATGTCAAAGAGTCGGGGGCCGTGATTGGGGGGCCTGAGCCCCCAGTTCTGCACCAGTGTGACTCCCTTGCAGCATCAACCCCAGCTTGCAGTGTGCTAGTCCACGGTGCACACCATGTCGGCACTGCCAGACAAAGTCATGCGACGCCACGCTGAAAAGGCCTGACAGAAGATGAGTAGATTAGGGCATCGGGCCCATCAGCCAGGTTTGGTGAGAGAATTACCTCTGGTCTCGACAACAGAACTGCCTCTCGCCAGGCCGGGTCCGACTACCGGATATGAATCAATGATTGTCCAGTGACGTATCCGGCACGGCAACGCCAAGAATGTCGCTGGCTACGACGACGCTACCGTTGCTGCCCAGCATCGCGACGGCAACCCAACTGATCACGACCTGGAGTCCGCCGTCAGCATGCTCAACGCCCGTGCCACGCTTCCTCCAGGGCACCTGTGTCGGCAACACATGCACGTCCGATAACTTCCCCGACGTGGATCTTTGGACCGCATGGGTCAACTGGCCCTATGAGACGGCCCTCGGCTCGACAACGGCTGCCGCTTGTGTCCCGCCGGGGTGGAATGAGGTGCTGCGCTTTGCCTTTGATCCCGCCACGGGATGTCCCTCGGGCTATGTGACGGCTGCGACAAGGAGCTATCCCTATGCCTCCGACATGGCTATTGTCTCTTGCTGTCCTTCGTAGGTTCTGGTGTCCAGGCTGTTGATCGATACGAAGGCTGAAGCTGACCGCTCAAGGGCCTTCTCCACCATGTCCTACGACCCCAGCATTCGCCAGGACGAAAACGGCAACTCGGTAACGCTGGGCGATTGCATAGCCACACGGACATACTCAACCGACAAACCATACCTCGGCGTCGCCTCCGGGTACCACACCCAACAAGTCCTCGTCGTAACCAACGGTGTGACATTAACAACCACAGCCGAGTACTACACCGAGAGCGTAATCCGCACCAGCTCGGTAACCGCCTCAGCCATAACCGTCGAAGTCCACCACCCAGTCGTCAAAGTGTTGGTTCCCTCCTCCTCCTCCTCCCCTCCACAGGGCGGCTTCACCATCTTCCAGCTCTCAGCCGCCTACTCCATTGTCATCCTCGTGGTAGTCATCCTCGTAATCATCGCCCTCCTCTGCTGCACCTGCTGCTGCCTCATCCACCGGCACCGGCGCCGGCTCAAGGCTTCTTCCAACCACCCCTACATTACCTCCCCACCAGCCTACCATCCCTCGTTTTTTACCTCCCAGGGAGCCTACGGAAATGGTCAGCCGACCTGCCCCCACGGCACCGCACACGTCTGCGCATATAAACAGCCCTGCGAAACGTCGTGCTGCGCTTGTCGCGATGCCCGGCCGGCCGGCGCGGCGCTGCCCGTCGAAATACGCACGTCGACGTACTGTTTCCCATGCTACTCGCGCTGGCGATTGTCTCCGGATGACATCCCGCCAGAGTGGCAGGCCGAGTTTCACGGGGTGGCGGATGCTGGCCCCGAGTCCCATGGTGCCGACGAGGACGTCAGGTGTGGCCACGGCATCGTGGCCGCGGGGTGTTTGCGGCGTGCGCTAAAGGCGAAGCAGATAACGTGCTGTGCGTGTCTAGATGGGCGGAGGGGGCTGTATACGCGGGACGCGAGGGTGTTTACGTACTGTGCAACCTGTGCCGAGTTTTGGAGGAGGCGGTCGCCTGCCGAAGCGCCGCCGGAATGGGGGAGGGTGCCGGATGTGGTCGTGAGTCCTCCGGCGGGGCTAGCACCAAGGAATCCTTATGGGAGGGCGAAGGGGGAGGCTGTGACGGAGGAGATTCAAATGGTCTCCAGAGGGGATGGATACTACCCTGACGAGAAGGAGATCCGGAGGACGAAGTCGGGGAGGTTTGAAATGGCCGCGGATATGAAATTTCCTATGCCGCCACCTCCTCCGAGGTTGGGTGACAAGAAGGGATGAGAGACCTGCTTTGATTAGCTACTGGTATTTCAGAGCGATGAACATTATCTACACTTTAAGCTCCAGAAGAAACGACTGACGGCGTCCAAAGGACTGGATGATCTCAATGAGGCTGGCAACGGAAGTGGTCGAACATTGTCGATTTCTTTTGGAATGTGGGGGAAGGTGAATTGGAGGTACCTTGAGGGAACTTCAGACAGAAACTGGACTTGAATATTACCATGTAATCAATTTCTTTTACTTTTGCAATGTTTTGACCAGCGGGGCATCCTGGAGAAGCCCAACATAACATGAACCCGAACCACCTAGTAGAAGAGCTTGCTTTCAGCCCTCGCATTTGTAGGTTGCTCTTGCTATTTCTACGCGTACTGACAACTTTCCGGGGACAATGAGGAAGGAGCAGCCGTGCACGCGTCTAACACGACAGTGACCCATCCTCCCAACAAGAAGGTACACTGGGAGGCATGTGGCCATTCGGCTTCTGCGTAGGGAAAAGTTGTTGAAACTAGGTAGATAAGATACAATGTGTCCTAGCACAAACAAGTCCACCGCATGGCATTATCGAATCCTCAGGTCATCGCTACATGGTGAAGAAGCGGGGAGCTGACACATTTGCGGCACAGCGCACGCCTCATTCTTGGTTCGCCAATCAGCTGTCATCCCGACTGGACACGCCTCGAACAACGACTCCCGCATGGCGCCCTCAGGGGGGTCTGATTGGCTCGTTTGTCACCCCTGTGCCAACCACCTGCACCTGCGGGGAGCTGGGGAGCTCACCTTCGGGTATTGTTCCTCTGTCTCCCTTTGTGTCCCTTTGCCCTCTTCTTCTCGGCTTCCCCCCTCATCCCGTCTCCCTCACCTCAGGGAAAGCAAATTCCAACATGGCTACGGTAACAGTCACGGCCACCGTCACGGCTAATGCCACGGCGGTAACGCCGACGTTCGCGCGCCAGCGCAGGCCGGTCTCTTCGAGGGCCTCAATCCTTCGGTGTACAACCCCGCCGACCCAATCGTCCTTTTCATCATCCAAGCAACCATCGTCATTGCGCTGACCCGCCTGCTGTACTGGCCCCTCTCCAAGATCCGCGAGCCGCGCGTAATCGCAGAGGTCATCACGGTATATCTTCTCCGTCTCTTTCCTCTTGGACAGCAGCTGATTCAGGTGTACAGGGCATCCTCCTTGGCCCTTCCGTCTGCGGCCGCATCCCGGGCTTCACAGCAGCCATCTTTCCGCCCGCGGGGATGGCGCCCTTCCGGCTCGCCGCCAACATCGGCCTGATCCTCTTCCTCTTCCTCGTTGGGCTGGAGATCAACCTGAGCTACCTGCTCAGCAACGGCGCATCGCCATCAGCGTCGCGTCGCTCGA